TAGTGGTATAGTGGCCCCCAGAAGAGGCATGGTAGTGGTATAGTGGCTCCCAGAAGAGGAATGTTCAGTTGGTTTTGTCCATGGTCCTTACAGAGTGGGCTCCCAGTAGGGGAAAGGTGACCATCCTCCTGGTTAGTATCCAGGAGGGATACTGGAACCTCCAGGTCCAGTCCGGACAGCTGTGCATATCAGCTGTCAACTGAACAGTGACAACCAACGAGTGAATGCTGGTGAGTTACTTAACCTATTAGAACCTCAATGTCCTCATTTGACTTGTTGGGGGAATTATGCGAGATAGCACATGTCAAGTACTCCACTACTGCTTTATGGTGCATAGTGGGAGCTTACATTATTACCAAGAGAACAATTCTCCCACTTGCTAGAAATCATACTCAATTCTTAAGCATTTGTTGAATTCCTGCTACGTCCAGGCATTTTGCTCACGGTAATGGCCCAGGATTAGGGTCCCTAACATCAAGCAGTCCAGGGAGCTGAGGGGGAGAGACTGTCTGCTATTGGACTGCAGAGGAGGACGTGGTGCATGGGGATGTTGCAGGGCAGGGCTGGAGAATGGGGATGATGGAGTCAGGCTCTGAGGGACAACAGGATTTCTCCAAGCAGAGAGGTAAGGAGTTGGGAGTGGAGGGAGGTGAGAGAGGAGTGAAGGGATTCACAGGTAAAGGAGAGAGCAAGAGCAGAAATCAGCTTGGGGAAGATGAAGAGAAATGATCCATGACGACTGGAGAAGTCCGTCATCTCAACCAACACGGCCTGTTCTCTGGTCTGATCAGCTCTGAGCAGTCGGGATACAAGTAACAGAGTGGTGTGTGTGTGTCTTTTCAATGTTGTTATATTGGAAAAACTGCTCAATGTTGCCCTATGGTTGGAAGTAGACGAATGTGTGAGGCATTTGATCAAGGTCTTTCCAGTTGGACGCCTTTTCCACTTGAAGCTCCCCTATTAGACTAAGCTCCAAGAGGAAAGGGGTCATGTCTGTTTGAGAGACTGACACAGCAAGGCATACAGTAGGCACTGGATGAATGTGTATATCTCTAAAACAAACAAAAAGGGAGCAGGAGAATAGCAAGGTCTTCTAACACTTGGTCACACGTGTATTAATAGCACAGTTCATTTATAATCCTTTCATTCCCCTGAAAAGTGCAAGCTCAAGGTCACTTCAGGAACCGTCTCTTCTCTTCCTTCAACTTCGCCATGTAGTCACCATGCTCTCCTACCTTCATCAGCTCACTACTGCCTCAAGGAGGACATTCAACTTCCTTATAAAAACTAAGGCCACCCCGACGTAACCTCAAGCACACGCCTATGTCCATGTTCACTCTGCCTGAAATCTTGTGCTTTACTAATATCAAGCTTCCTGCAGAGCCCGCACATACTATGTTTGTCACCTCTGACCCTCCTCCAGATGGGAACAACTGGAATGCTCCTCTCTCCCACCTCTCTTCTTTAACTCATTGTCCAAGCCTCGGCCCAGATGCTCCAGAAGTTTGCCCCAATCCTCTCAGGGGAGATGGCCAGCCCTCCTGCCCCTCCCGGCCCTCTGGTTTGCTCCTTCACCGGGCCCATACCTATCTCTGCATGCGGCATCCCAATTAGACTTAGGTGGCATCTCCCACTCAGAGGACAGGGACCATGTCCTACTCATCTCTGTATGTCTGCTACCTGCCACGGTACCTGGTGCATACAAATGAACGAATTATTAGAGATGTGAAGAAACTAGTGGAGTGGGATTCAGAGCCAGCGGTGATCGAGTCAGGGCCATCGTTCAGTGGAGACAGGAAGATACAAAAAAAAAAATTAAATAATTAACAATGTTCTTATATCTCCCTACCATGCTTCCTTTTTCCCTTACAGTAGCAAAATAGGCTTAATAAAAGGTGTAAATGTCATATCCGATAAAGGTATGACCATCGCAGATGTCTACATGGGCCAGCTAAGCTTAATTTCATATTTTAAGAGACAAACTGAAAAAAAAAAAAAAGCAGCAACAAAGAGAACTGCAGTTGGGGAAGGAAACAGGATACATTAATAAAGGTCCAGGGGCTGTGGCTTCCCAATGCAAAGGAAATATGGAGGCAAATAATGTGTAGCAAACAGAAGAAAGTGCCAGATTCTCACACTTTGCAGACTGCTCTGAAATATGGCATGGAATCATTTTCTAGGTTATTTGTTTTCGAATATCGGGCTGCTAAGGAAAACAGTGTGGAAAAGGTATGCTGGTGCACAGTCGCTAATCACTCAAAGAAGCACCACTTCCTAAGGCGACATCCACACATAGCGGCTTGGAAATGGACAGCTGTGTATCTGCGTCTTGACGTGAGCAGGGGACAAGCCACTCCCACCGGCAGGTTCTAGTTCCCAGACACTTCCTGAGAATGGTCAACAGAGCAACCTGTAAGTTAAGTTTTCCTAGTGATCTGAAATAAGCAATTTAGTCACTTATCCTATTTGCTGCTATTGATAAATTTTAAAAGACGTACATGCTAAAGAGTTACTTAATGTTGATTTTAATAGACAGCTCTTCTTGAGTCATGAAGCAGGGATACTTACTATGACTTTGCATTCTTGAAAAGCATGTAATATGCTTTTCTGAAAGCTGCGTATTTAAAAAGGCTTGTAGGAAAATATTTGCGTGTGCCACAACAATTATTTGTCTTGGCAATCTCTTTGGGGGGGGCGGAGGTCACATCTATTCACCTTACAGCATGACGGAAAACAGGAAACTGACTGATAATCTTCTGTGTAAGCACAGAAGCTGTTAGGTCGTGATTTGGTAGCAAGGCTTGATTTAAACTTTATAACCCATAATCTGTTCAGAAAGGAAGTGTTGGTGGGTCTGCGCTGGGAAGGGACTAGCTGTTTGGACAAAGACTGTTAGGACTTTCTCAGGAAACAGAGCTCAAGGTTCAGGTGGAAAGTGACAACCAATCCTGCACAACCAGGCCCCTGCTTTCCGTGCAGCTCTGCGAGGGCGCCCTGAGTCACACCGGACAAACTGAACAGAAACGCCAATAAAACACGACTGGCAGGCACATACCGTGTCTAGGAAATTCTTCGATGAGGCAGAGGGATGATTTTTCTATGTCAAATTATCCTATCATGTGTCCAATGTGCAGTACACAGTGCACTGAAGATTTTCATCACAATGAGGACTCAGATAAGCAAGTACCAATCAGCTAACTTACAAAAAAAAAAAAAAAGCATTTACAT